ATATAACTGTATATGATTTTGTTTTACTTAGTGAAGCATCATATCATCAGTTCTCATTATGTCAATAAGAAAAATTTAGCCCAATATCCTATTTGTAATAATGTTTATCTTTAATATAATAAAAGTTCCAAATTTAATGACTTCTGGTTTTAAATGTAATGATTAAATATTGCTGTGAGAAGGTCATACGTTTAATATCTCTGGCCATAAATGTAATAAAGTCCCTATGTAATACATTTTGGTACAAATATAATGAGCATATGTTGACAAAATTTCATCGGTTTTCACATTTACTATTACAGAATTTTCTTCAGTATGCTTACCCTTTTGACGTAAACAGATATTGACCTTGGTAGCAGTTTGCGCAGATACAAAATGAAAAGGGTTTTTGAACTGTATGTTATTTTAAACAAAATGATATATATAAATCATTTTTATTGTTATAAAACATGTTTTTTTCGCTAACTACAATGAAGTAGCAACAACCAAGCCACAATCGTACTAACAAAGCTAACTGGTAGTTAGCGAAACCGTTTACATTAAAAAACGTAAGCATACTGGTTTTATTGAATGAAAATTCTTCAATATAATAAGCACGTTCTTTGCTAACCTTTTTACATCTCAGACGATTCAAAATACATCATTTTCGAAACCACTAAATTGTATATGACTTGTGTCATAGCTCCTAACTTCTATAAATAATTCAGTTTATTAAAAACATTTAAGGTCTTTAAGGTAACATTAAGGTAACCTAGGATTTTTTATTCTGATCAATCTATTGACAAAGCGACCTGAAAAAAAAATTGACAAAGATTTATTTTTTTATCTGATGACACTACCAACCTGGCTATCATTACCTAATCACTGTTTTAGAACGAAATTTTACCCCCGTCCCACCACCCTTCCCCGAATATATGTTATTTTTAAGGCTAACGATTTTGTTTTGCTTACTTTGTACTTCGTACTTGGTATCTGTCATACCATGGCAGAAATATCTGACATAGTCTTTAAACTTTAAAACCATTGCTAATTTAATAAAATGCTTGTTTAGAAAGAAATTATGAAGATGAATTAATGAGCATGATTTATATCAACAGTGGTTATCGGTTCCATTCACATTCACAAACGAACATGTCAGCAGTATAGTCGAGACCAGTTCTACGTGGTTAGGTACATGGGATAATAGATATGCCGGTATATGGTGTGACTATACATTACTATTGGTATGCTATATACATTTTTATTCCTTATTTTATTATACATATATATAATATATATATATATGTATATGTTTGTTTGAGTACTGTAATATATACATATACATATATATATACATATATATATATATATATATATATGCGCCATTTGGGCATTATGCCACACTACATGCAGTCGTATAGGGCTATGCCTTTAATAAATTTCTTAATATAATGTAGCCTAGAGTGGTATACTTCTTCACAATGTATTGCTTTCATGTAGAGTATCATTTACTTATTTATTTCAGGTATGTGAAATTTTATTGAAGCATTGCTATTATTACAGTACTCAAAATAAATTGATCAGGCAGTGGAAATGCTACCCGGTATGCTAAATATTCAATTGCTTTAAGACAGATGTACGGTACCCGCCAAACTGTGCAGAGAATATTTTCAAAAATCGTAGAATCCCACTCAAAAAAAAAATACAAATGACTTACGAATTAACTTCACATGCTTAAATATCTTTATGGCCAATTACAATAAAAAAAAAATAGCCTGCTTACTAATATTATAATAATACTTTTATTTGGAACTACAGTACGCTTGTTTCATCAGTGGCACATGTTTTAAAATGTTTGGGCAATGATGCAGCTGATGAGCACTGCATATAGAAATAGGTTCCCAGCAGGAGCGTACACATGTCTACTGCTTCATAGGCCTAAGTTATTTCGTAATAAGCCACTTGTACGATTTTTGAAAATATTCTCTGCACAGTCGAGCGGATACCGTACATCTGTCCTGAAGAAATGGAATATTTAGCATTTCGGGTAGCATTTGAACTGTCTCTTATACACATCTAGATGTGTATAAGAGACAGACACTATCTTATTCACTTTATTTAA